AAGGAAGGAAGGAGGGAAGGAAGGAGGGAAGGAAGGAAGAAAGAAAGAAAGAAAGAAAGATAGAAAGAAAGGAAGGAAGGAAGGAGGGAAGGAAGGAAGGAAGGAAGGAAAGAAGGAAGGAAGAAAGAAGGATAGGGAGGGAGAAGGGAAGGAAGGAAGAGGGAAGGAAGGAAAAGGGAAGGAAGGAAGGAAGGAGGGAATGAAGGAAGGAAGAAGGGAAGAAAGAGGAAGGAGGGAATGGAGGGAAGGAAGGAAGGAGGGAAGGAAGAAAGGAAGGAGGGACGAAAGGAGGATAGGGAGGGAGAAGGGAAGGGAGGAAGAGGGAAGGAAGGAAGGAGGGAAGGAAGAAAGGAAGGAGGGAGGAAAGAAAGGAGGGAAGGGAGGGAGTAAAGAGGGAAGGAAGGAGGGAAGAAATGAGGGAGGAAGGAAGGAAATAAGGAAGAATGATGAATAATCATGATTAATTGAGCTAAATCAACATCCACCTGAGAGAAGAATAATTATAATTTTGTGCTGTTGGTACAAGGAACACAATTTAGCAGTAGATAAAACCTGATTATTCATGCATCTGTATTAGAGACTGTTATTATTATTACTATTATTAAAGTGAAAGTGAACAAATTGTCATTGTGACACAGCACACCACTGCACACAACCAAATGTGACCTGTTTTTAACACATCACCACAGCCAGCAGAGGGCAGCTTTAAGCCCCCGGGGAGCAGTGAGTGGGGATCTTCTGGCCCTTAGCTGCCCCCTATTATAAACGTCGTTATTAACACCTGTAGATACCTGTAGAAGAAGTGCTGATGAAGAAACTGGTCTTCACGGACATAAGCCAGAGGAAAGAGGGAGTTGACGGCCAGGTACAGAGCAACGTAGACTGGAATCAGTTTCAGACGCTGAAGACAGGGAGCCAATCCGGGCAACGCCAACGGACTGGGTTGTTTCAGCCAGTCGAGGTACGTTTGGAAACGAAAGAAAGGACCTTCAGTAGGCAAACCAAAGAGAAAGGAGAATTAAAGCAATGTTAAGAAGACGTTGTTGACAAGAAAGAACAGTAGTGAGGAACATGGGACAAAAGGGAGGAAGGCTGGAAATGTAGTCAAAGAAACAAAACAATTTAGAAATAGTGGTGGTGATGAGAGTGACTCACACAATAGTGGAGAAGAAGCAGAGGGTGACAAAAAGAGAAACAGTTAAAATCCATGCACAAACAAAAAGACATGGACAACAATGGAAACTGTGCTGATCTCTAAACTGATACTTCATCAAACACTTACCAGTCATTATACCCACATAACAGTAGCTGTAGGACAGAACGTCGTAGAGCGACGGCTCCTCAGACAGACCACCAACCACTGGAGACTTGGCAGAGGAGCTCTTTTCCTTTTTCTTCTCCAGATGGAAACTCTGCACCTCATTGGCCAGACTCACCATCTGAGCAGCAGGACACACAAATGTCAGTGTAGTAGTGAAATGTTTAGGTCCAATGAATTGACTGTGTCACTGGTTGTCAGACCTTAAGAGTAAGAAGCAGCTGGACAGCGTTGGCAAAGGAGGTTGGTGGTGGGAGACCAAACCAGGTGACCAGCCGAAAAAAGAGAAGGTAGAGAAATGTCCAGCTGAGGCTGATGGCTGGAGCATGCCTTGTAGACACAGACAGACATTAGAAGCAGGTCTTCGTGTCTTTGTTTACACAACTGCACTGCTAGGGTTACAATGACAGTGTCTTAAGACGGCCACA